GCCCTGTATTACAGTGGATTGGAAATTAAAAAAAAAACAAAAGCAAAACAAATAAACAAAAATAGTCCTTCACTGCAGAAATCTGAGAAGCTCTGTAATAAAAAGGCACAAGCCAACCAGTCGCAGTGGCTCATGCTGGTAATCCCAGCACTTTGGGAGGCTGAGGTGGGTAGATCGCTTGAGGCCAGGAGTTCAAGACCAGCCTGGCCAACATAGTGAAACCCTGTCTCTACTAAAAATACAAAAATAGCTGGGTGTGGTGGCGGGTGCCTGTAATCTCAGTTGCTCAGGAGGCTGAGGCAGAAGAATCGCTTGAACCCAGGAAATGGAGGTTGCAGTGAGCAGAGATTATGTCCAGCCTGGGCAACACAGCAAGACTGTCAAAAACAAAAAAAAGAAAAGAAAAGAAAAATTAAAAGGCACAAGCACTGTAATCACACAGGACCAGGTACGAGTCTGTGCTCCACTACTCGCCTGACGATGTGGCCCAAACAAGTTCCTTTACTTCTCTGAACATGCATTCTCTCATCTGTGCAGATATGGATGAAGGAGGGTACAACTCTGTTCAATGAGCAGCTTCCTCATGCCATGAAATGTTCAGTTTTAATATCTGTTCAATACAAGGGTCAATCACATACTTGAAAATACTTTGGATGTGGTTTATTCCACAGCCGTATGAAAAAAAAAGAAAGGTAGCTGTTTGGGGAAAACAGCTACCCTGCAATAAAACAATGAATGCCCCCAGCACTTTCTCATATTCCATCTAGAAGATATTTTGGTAACAAATTCAGTGTATCATGGACTGGATATGGATATGATCATCCAGTGGTCACTGCAGGGTCCAGACTTAAACCACATGTGACAATTTACTTTGGGCCATTGTGAAAGCAAAAAATTCTCAACTGCATCCAACAACAGCTAAAGACCTAAGGACAGTTTTCGGGAACTGCTTTAATGACTTACAGTCATAAGCAAAAAAAAAAAAAAAAAAAAAAAAAAAGATGCCCAGGAGAAGAAGAGGGAAGAAACTGAATTTACATGGAACAGAGAGGTAAACACAGATAACTTCAACTGGCCAGCATAGGACCCTCCTGGCCACTCTGTAAATGAAAAACAAAAACCTTTCCTCATTGTGGTGAAGTCCACCTACAACACACCAATCTCAGTATCTAGCAAAAGCAGAGAGCAAATAAAAGTTCCCTTTCGATCCTTCCTATGCTATGTATGCCTGTAAAATTGTGCTTTAATTCTTTCCTCTTTAAGTTAATTCCATTACAGTTTCCTTTCTATCTGTTACAAATGCCATCTGGGTGGAAGCCTAATGATATGTCAGTGTCACCACTTACAATGGTTCCGAAAATTTTTTCACCCTCAATCAGCAACAGTCCCCAAGGACTACTGGCTAAAAACAGGAAAGCTCAGTAATGCCAAGGCTGATTTATAACATCAGCATCAAGCTCCAGCTCAGGCTCCTTGCACACTTCTGGCTCCTGTTTCACTAGTTGAGTGAGAGGTCACTTGAGTCACATAGGACCTTACAAGGTTTCTGGGGAGAATAATAGTTTTTCTGTATTCCTTCCTTACAAAAGGCAGCTGATCAGCACTACTGTCTAGACATGCAAAGATATTTTTCATGGACACAAATAGGTTGGTGTTTTGTTTTGTTTTGTTTTGTTTAAGTGAGAAAGGGATTTACTTTTATTTTAAAGCATGCACACAGCTACAGTAGGCCTTCTGGAAAGCCTTCTTAAAAGAAGATTTGTGTGTCAAGCTCACATTCAGAAATAACAAAGAGTATAATGAAAGGGATCCGAGGTCCATGACAGTATTTGACGTATTACCTAGGAGACATTGGAGATGGCTTTCATTTTCAGATTCAAGGATTCACCTTTCACATAGGAAATACAAAAGACCAGACAAAAACCATGTGTTTTTACCGTAATTTTCTGCTTTATATCTCCTTCGGCAATTTTTTTTCCAACCAGCTCCACACTTCCAATATATACCCAGACGCTGACAAAATCGTAGTTTCCCATCCTCCACAAGGACTGAAACACATGTGAAGGTTCCTTGGGAAGGACCAAAGAGTACGCACAGAAATTTGGAAATTTCTGCATTCCATTTCCAGTCCTGACAGCATCTCTCACACAGATTGCCCTGGTGCCATTATTTTAATTACTTTACATGCTGCCTCTACAATCCCGACGATAAAATGGAAAAGCTGTTTTGTTGGAACTTGTGCTGCAAATAGCACAATGACAATATTAGGAAAAAATCTCTCACAGCATTAACTGGCTCACAAAGATTATTCTTAATACAAGCTGTCCCCAACATATGGACATTATTTTTTAAAGCCCCAGACCCATGAGCAGGCCCTAAGTCAGTCTGCAACCCTAGTCCTCCAGTGGGGGCAACTGCTCACTTCTCTAGGTCAGAAAAGCTTAAGGAGAGGTAAACTGGAGGTACACTCATGTTCAGACAAATGTCATGCCATCTCTACACAGATGGAGAAGTGCAAAAAGTGAACACTTGTGGAGTCCAGGTACCTAGATCTAGGTAAGGAGACAGTTCAAACCACCACCACTATCACCTCCAAAGAGGGAAGAAGAATTCCCGGCCTCCTAATTTACAACCCAAAATGTATTCTTTTAAAAGAAAAACAAGGTTTAAAGAGATTTTCTTATGGCTCTATGAGCTTTATTAGAACTAAACTTTACAAAAGCAATAAACTGAAAAGTGCCTATATCATTGAAAGTGGAACAAATACAGTACACTGGTTATTTCTTGAGAAGTTGAGTGAAGTCTTCAAAATAAGAAGGAGTGGATAATTTGAGTCATGTAGTGGCAATTGTTTTATTATTTCTATTATAGGAATCATCATGTCAATCAGTTGCTACAATATAGGACTTCAGAAATAAGATTTTATTCTGTATATAAACTTCTACTTAATACATTTTTATATAAGACCCTGCTCTTGCATGATATTCCCAGACAGTGTCTCTGTAGCTTAGATTAATCCTGCTCAATCATTAACCATTCAACCCGGGCAAAGTTACTGAACTTCACTCCCTACCCCTCAATGTTCTTGCTCATCAGATAGTCAGAAATAATATCTTACTAGGAAAATGAATGGGAGAAAAAAATAAAATAGAACTTTATTCGCTTTATTCTGCACTCAAACGAGCAAAGAAATGGTAGCTTCAGTGTTTCTAAGTGACTGGTTTAGGACAAGAAGGGTGTATTAGTTTCCTGTTGCTGCTCTAACAAGTTACCACATTAAGTTTAGTGGCTTAAAACTACACAAATTGACTCTTACAGTTCTGGGGGTAGGAAATTTAATGTCCAGGTGTTGGCAGGGCTGCCTTCCTTCTAGAGGCTTCGGCGTGGGGAGCAGGAGGTTTTCCATGCCCTTTCCAGCTTCTAGAGGCCACCTGATTTCCTTTGCTCATGGTCCCTTCTTCCATTGTCGAAATGCATCGCTCCAATACCTGGTTCCATCATCATCTCTCCGTTTTCTGCTTCTGATGTCCAGTCTCCCTCTTATAAGGACTTCTGGGATAACACAGGGTCCACTGGGATAACCAAAGATAATCTCCCCATCTCAAGATCCTTGATTTAACCATATCTGCAAAGTCTCTGTTTCCATATAAGATAATCTAGCCAGAGGCTCTTAGGATTAGGATGTGAACAACCATAGGAAGACTTTATTCAGACTACCGGAAAAAGGGAGACCCAACTGCAGAAAAGTCTGGCAAATATTTACTCCTATGCAATAAATTAAACAGTTCCTTTAGGTTTGGTCTTTTTAGACAACAAGCTCAGTCACTCAGATTTCTGTTCATCAGGACAGTATCCAGGGCCGGGTATGGTGGCTCACACCTGTAATTCCAGCACTTTGGGAGGCCAAGACCGACGGATCATCTGAGGTCAGAAATCCAAGAGCAGCCTGGCCAACATAGCAAAACCCTGGCTCTACTAAAAATACAAAAATTAGCCAGGCATGGGGGTGGGTGCCTGTAATCCCAGTTACTCAGGAGGCCAAGGCAGGAGAATCTCTTGAACTTGGGAGGTAGAGGTTGCAGTGAGCCGAGATCACACCACTGCACTCCAGCCTGGGCGACAAAGCGAGACTGTCTCAAAAAGAAAACCCAAAAACCGACAGTAACCAGGTGTATGGGGAGAGGGGAAAGGGGAGAGGGGAGAGTGTCTCCATTATTATGGTGATGTGAGAGAAGGGGAATGCAAATCACATGTTGTCCTCTACATCCTAGCTGCCCTCTGCTGCAAAGCAGCTAGTCTGGGTTGCTGCCTGGCCTGGTGACCATGGGAGTGAAACTGGCTAGCTCTTCAACCCTGGATATTCCAATGACATCCGCAGCTGATGTCTATAGCTGGTGGCCAGGGCCTTAGAGTGCCACTGGCTGGCCTCCAGTGGTGCCACAGCCAGCTCTGGGTCTCATTTTCCACCCAGTTCCTGGCCTAAGCCCACTGCCTCTTAACTCAGCTGCCTTCTGAGCCCTCCCTTGAAAGAATTCCAGAAAATCTGGCTACTTCCACCATCACACAGGAGCTGAGAGAGGCTTGGTGAGTGCCCTGGGGCCTCCTCCACCTGACCTCACCATTTTGCCCTCTCATGTCACTTGGAAGTGTACCCCTTCCAAGCTGGCATGAAGTTACTCACATAGCAGTGTCTGCCCAGAACCCTAAACAGAAAGTGGGACAAAACTCTCCTCTGCCCTTGGTGTTCCCACCAGCCAGGATGAGCCCCTCTGCCCTCAGTCCTCCCTGTACTTGTGCAATTTGGGCCACCAATTCATTTCCTCCTATAGGGACATGCCACTCCACCCTTCCCGAAATGGGGTCTATTTCCCTGACTTCCCTTGAATCTGGACTGACTCTAGGGCTTCCTTTGACCAACAGGATATGGTGGAAGTAACATGCTGCCACTTTCAAGCTTGGTCTTAAGAAGAGTGACAGCTTCTGCTTTCTTTTCCTTGAAGGCCAGCTACCTGAGGAAGTCCAACTACCCTGAGACCACCATGCTATGAGGGTGCCCAAACCTGCCAGGTAGAGAGACCACATGGAGAAGCACTGAGGTACCAGACATGTGAGAAAAGATGTCTTGGACCTTCCTTGCTTCCTTGGACCCAGCCCCAGCACCAACTGAACATAGGGACAGCCAACAACCCATGGAACAGATTTGAACTAGTCAACTCCTGGAAACTTAAGAAACAATAAATTGTTGTTATTTTAAGCCACTAAGTTTGGAGTGGTTTCTTACACCACAATAGGTAATTAAAACAATCAGAAAAATAAAAAACAAACTATATATACATTCAAGTGTTTTCCCCCAAAAAAATGGAATCACAGTGATAGAGCAGTAAGACTACGCAAAAAGACCAGAGTAAGCAGCCACTTCAAAAGAATGCCCGCTTATTTGCAAGGGTTTTGTTGTGCTTTGTTTTTTCACTAAATGCCCTCCCTCATTTAATTCATCTCTAGCCAAAGAACCACTTGCACTACTTTTTTCCTTCTCTAATTAGCATGCAGGGATTTCCCTCATGTTAAGAGAATGTGATATGCAAAGTCACTGGACCACTGTCTTGCATAACAAACCAAAGTCTTTTGACATCAGTGAGAAAATTCCTCAAGAATGCAAAGAACATAATGCCAATTGTTAAGTGTGAAATTCCAGGGTATTAACCCTTTCAGAGATGCCGTCTTGTTCAGTTTTATTTTAGGTTGATCAAAAGGACCGTGAAACTAGATTGGAACATTATGCACCAGACTCCACTGCCTACTTGAAAAAGAATTATACTTGGAACTTGATCTTTTTAAGATCTCCCGTATGTCCCATATTTTAACAATCAGGTTTTAAAACAGAAAGGATCATTGCCATTGAAAAATGGTGTCCAGCCAAGTAAGCCTCATCAGTCAAAGTAAAAATCTCAACCTATAGTTGTCATTCAGGCCTTAATGTTTACCTTAGGAAATGTTTTTATATGGAAAATTGATGGCAAAGCTGTGCCCAAATGGCGCTATTCCCAACAAGGACAGAAGACCCATGGATTTACTTGCTAGGCCAATTTATTGAGAAAGTTGTCAGGGATGAGAAAAATGAGAGAATAATTCAGACGGGAAGGTATAGCCTATTCGTTTTTCTAGCTTCTATCTTTACCCTTACTTCTCATTACTAACTCTCCTGTTAGGGATGCAGATGAGGGGAAACCTGTCCACAGAATCTGACATACATACATAGAGAGTTACACAAACGACAGGCTTCCAGGTCTCTAAAGTTCCCTGTTAGGAATCAAGAGCAGCAACACGCTCATATTTTAAAGTCATCCAGAAAAGAAGTTTAGACTGTACACAAAGCCAACAACACACCCTGTTATTTTTAACTGCCACAATTAATCCACTCAGACAGTGTTCACACAACATGTATCAGCCAGGAATATAACCTCCCTATTTTAAACTCAAATTTATCTGTACTATAGAGCTGAGTGGGGAGAAACAGCTATTTTGAAATCAAACGATCTTGGATTTAAATTCCAGTGCTAATCTTACTAAGTATACTGCCTTGGACAAATTACTTAACATCTTAGCCTAAATTTCTTCACCTGCAATGTGCAAGTAATAGTCGTAGTTACCTTACAGAGTGGAGAGAAGATTAACTATGATTTCAAAGAAAAAAGAAAACTTCAATTAGGAACCAGGCACAGATTTATTATTCAACTGGTGTTAGTGATTATTATTAAAATTACAAAAGTTTTTGTTTTCTTCTCCTATAGTTTTTTTGTTTTGTTTGTTTGTTTGTTTGTTTTTGACACAGAGTCTCGCTCTGTCACCCAGGCTGGAGTGCAGTGGCACGATCTCGGCTCACTGCAAGCTCTGCCTCCCAGGTTCACGTCATTCTCCTGCCACAGCCTCCCGAGTAGCTGGGACTACAGGTGCCCACCACCACGCCCGGCTAATTTTTTTGAATTTTTAGTAGAGACAGGGTTTCACCATGTTAACCAGGATGGTCTCGATCTCCTGACCTCGCGATCCGCCCGCCTCAGCCTCCCAAAGTGCTGGGATTACAGGCATGAGCCACCGCGCCCGGCCTCTTCTCCTATAGTATTAACACCAATCCCCTCAGCCCTTAATCATTGATTGCTGGCTGAAATAATCACCCAAAACTCATAATAGCACAAGAAAAGATTTATAACTTTAAAAATGTACAGGATTCAGTCTATACGTAATCTAACAAGATGATGGGTGAGGGAAAATGTGAGTAGAGAAGAAAACATACACATAATTAAATAAGATATTTGCAAAGTCATCTGTGACTCCAAGAAAATGCAGTCTGTATTTATTTTTTTGGGAAGTTAATGGAAAACTAATTCAGCTAGATACCTTTTACCTCCTTGGTGTATTCCCACGAGATAATATGTAATGAAGTTCTTTAAAAACCAGTAAGCACTGTGCCAACAGGGAATATTTATTGGGTGCTTGTTACATGTCAGACACTGTTGGCATTTTATATAAATCATATACTTAACCCTCACAACAAGCCACTGAAACAGTTCTTAGGCTCTTCATATTACTGGGAAGGAAGCTGAGAATTAAAGAGATAAAGCAATCTGCCCAAAGTGCCACAGGTAGGAAGGGGCTGGCCAAGATTCCAACCCCATGTCTATAGATCCCCAAAATCTGCTCTTCCCACCAACCAGGGGGAGGTGGTATGTCTCAAAGCTTTCACCCTTCCTCTGAATTTTGCAGAGAAGAAGGGAAATAGATTACATAATCATTTTTCATTTCATGTCTAGACTCTAGGAAACAACCCATAACCCACTAGGAAGCAGACAAGAAGCATGGGGCTGTGAGCCCAACACTGGAAATGCATCTGAGGAGGATGGAGAAATAACAATCTGAACATTCAGTTGCAGTTTAGAAGGTCAGTACCAACTTCTGACAGATGTCTGCTATTTTAAATGACAAACTTGCTTGCGTATTGTGCAGAATTGCTACACTTTCCGTTATGAAGCCATATGCTGGTTTATTTCCAATTTCAGCACTGAAAGACACATAGAAAAAAAAAACAGAAAACCAATTGGCTTTCAATGGAATTCTGTCTGAGATTTAAGCCAGCATGTAATAAAAAAGTTATTCTCCTTAGGCACATTCAATTTTTAGACTGCTAAAGCATGGCAAAACCACAAAAATGATGTCTTTCACATATAAAGATTCAAGAGAGGACCCAAACATTATGTAAAATTAAGTTAAAGCCAATTTTTCTTCATCAGATTTAAGTTCTGAAGATTATTTAGTAGCTATTTGTAACTTCTGGAAGATACTTACAAAAACTGGAGAAATGAATTGATAAAGCAAACATTCCTAATCTTTTAAAATACAGAGATGGGGCCAGGCGCGATGGCTCAAGCCTGTAATCTCAGCACTTTGGGAGGCTGAGGCGGGCGGATCACGAGGTCAGGAGATCAAGACCATCCTGGCCAACGTGGTAAAACCCCATCTCTACTAAAAGCACAAAAATTAGCCAGGTGTAGTGGCACATGCCTGTGGTCCCAGCTACTTGGGAGGCTGAGGCAGGAGAACTGCTTGAACTCGGGAGGCAGGGGTTGTAGTGAGCTAAGATCGCACCACTGCACTCCAGCTTGGGCAACAGGGCGAGACTCTGTCTCAAAAAATAAATAAATAAACAATAAAATAAAATACAGAAATGGTTTTAAAACCATCTTAGTTTCATCACCATCATTTTGAAATTCCTATATAAAGCTATTCCCCCCCCAAAAAATAATAATAATTTCTCTAGAATTAGAATGCACTCCATTCATCTTTGTGCCCCTAGACACCATTATGGTATTTGGCTTATGTAAGGTCTATAGTGTATTAGGCATTTAGTGCTGTTCACCAAATATTTCCAATTCTCCTTCCTCCAAGAACATTATAGGATTGTGTTTCCCTGCCCATGTGAAGTTAGGCATGGCCATTGCACTTGCCCTTCATTGACTGGCCAATGAATGTGAGCAGAACTAATATTACTTCTAAGCCAAATCCACAAGACAGTGTGCATGATTCACCATATTTCCTTTCCTTGCCCTTGTAACTGGTGACAGGGGGATATCTATCAACGCGCATCCATAGGGAAGGTCTATATGACAGCCAGCCCTCCATGGATATGTAGCACAGCCAATAAAGAAAACGGTGTTGCTTTAAGCAACTGAGACCTGGGTATCATTTGTTACTGCAGCATCATCTAGCACATCCCGTCTGATAAAAACACTGAATGAAAATTTAATGAAGAAAAATCAAGAAAAGCAAACTTGAAAAATATAAGTGCAATGACCACTTCTGTGGCTCTCACCATCCTTTCTCCATCATTATTTGTGGTTCAAATCTGAGAACACTGTGCTTACCACCGCCTGATACAAACGCTAACATAAACCAAGTTGAATATTTGTTTGAACAGAGCATCATGCTGCCAAATGCCATTGTTGTCACCAGCACCTCTCAAAGATATTCAAATCTGTAGAGAACAGTCTGTTCGCATATCTTATGCCAGAATAATAAGTATGTTCCTCAGAAATGAGTACCCTTCACTCGGTGGCTAAATGCAAGTGAATTTATATTCAAAAAACCCATGGGTCAGAGCACTAGAAGCACAAATAAGAAAAAGAAAAAAAAGCTCCTTTGTAGAATAACACTATTTAAAGAGCCCAAGGGAAAAAACGAGAATAAAGCAAACCAAAAAAACAAAAACATACGCATTAAAAAATGGTGCACAGATGGACTGTAATATCAAAACTATGCTATCAAGTTGGAGGAGGAATTCAGCACAGCCACTCAAGCACCACTCTCCCTCGGCTGGAACTCATCTGGAGGATTTGCACCTGCTATTTATGTTGCTGCATGCCACTTTCTTCCTTCCCAAGAAGAGATTTCAAACAAGAAGGCCCTTTCACAGGCAACTTCGAAAGAGAAACAGTCAGAAAAAAAGTAAAAAGGGGAATCAAATGCTTGAGAGAGGAAAGGAAGAAATCATGGAAGAAACCATGGAAGCCTTCAGGCAGCAAAGAGCGATTGTCTTCACACAGCAATTCAAGCCCGTGCCTCTCAGCCCTGGCTTTGCCATTAGTGATGTTCTCTCTTCTCACTCACTGCCAGGAAATGACTTAGACACCAAGTGTCAACTCTTTCATCTTTCCTCAATCCAACCTGAAATCTCAGTCTGGCTTCTGCTCACAGCACTCCACTAAAAA